TTTATTTATTTGGTACAGGGGATCGAACTCGGGTCCTTGTGCTTGCACAACAGGTGGCGAAACCACTGAGCTAGATCCCCAGCCCACTTTTCTGTTTTTTAATCTGTATCTACTCTAGGCTCACTAATCATTTCCTTCATAATGGTCTTCATTTCTTTAATTATCTCTGTTTTGGTTTTGTAAAGATACTTATTCATCCATCTTGTTACTTCAACTCCTACTATTTCATAAAATTCAGCTTTGTAGCTTTTGATTTCTCCCACCTAAATGCCCCCTTTATTTGCCTTGGGCAGGTTAGGGTTTATGGGTTGCATCCTGCTTCTGTGTTTTCTCATTTTCTATTTTTTTTTTCATTTATTAGTTTTCTACATTGAGGCTTGTAAACTGCTCATGGTAGGTAACTTTATTACTAGTATCAAGACCTCTTTAGGAAATCACTACTTTTCAGAGATATTTTTGAAGCATAGAGCCGGCTTTTGGCTTCTGAGTCTGTCTGAGGACCCTACCTCTTCAATTTATTAGGGATGAAAGGATGCTGTCAGTTTGGCAGAGCACCCAGTTCTCTGGTAATGGATATGGTATTATTTATGACCCCAAGACCCTCTAGGTATCAGCATACAAGGAAGATTAGTTGCTCACAACTGCGTCACTTTGGCTAAAATAGTACAATCAGTGACATCAAGCATAGACTAGAAAATGCCAGACTCTGATAACTAGTAATTTGCCACATTTAACCACAGGTACAAGATTTATAGTTATATAACAAAAACTAAGGCAAATCAGAAAATTATATACAGTAAATATCTACTCAATAGCATGATTTTGCCTTAAGGGGAGGAAATTTAAAAGGGATAAGAGGAAAACATAGAGAAATAAAAGAAGGATAAGTGATTAGAAGCAAGGCTGAAGGACAAAGGAAGATTACCCAAGCCTCGGGGAACTGGTGAAGAAGACAGGAGGGAAAGAAAGAATGAAAAAACAAGAATAAAATAAAACAAAACAAAAACCTAAAAATGATGCACACACTCACAAAAAAACCAAAAATAATCAAAAAAGAGAAAAACAAATGAACAAAAAATTTTTTTTCTCTGTGATATCAAGCCTGTGGTTATCTTCTGTAGTCTAGTTTTGTGGTAGTGTCCAATTCAGGGCATGACTCTACTCTCACTGGTAGACAAAGGTGGCAGAGCTAGCCCAGACCCATGCTGGATAATCCCAGCAAGCTTGCAGTGGGAATAGGATGGGATGCAGGTTATGGTACTTTCAAATCCACAGAAGTTCACGCTGATCTGGCCTCTAACCATGGGGCTGGTGCCTGAGTCTTTTAGTGTCTCTTGATGACCTAATCATGGCTCCCTGATCCTGGATGTCTCCTATGATTGTCCTTCACCCAGTTACTGTGGGATTTTAACACTGGCAGCCCTGAGATGAAGCCAACCTCATCTGCTCCAAATTCTGGGTTCAGTGGGCCCCTCCCTAAAATGCTGTCCAACCAAGCACCTTCTCCAGGGGACACAGCAGTTGCTTGGACTGGAGTCACTCACCAGCTGTTGTAGTGCACAGCATCCACTGCTCAGTTCCACTGGTGTGTTTCTCCCTGGAGGCCTCTGGAGTCACCTGCTTTCACTATGTAGATTCTGTCTTCCTTTCTCACACCATGAGCCAAGAGCTGAGGAGAAAGTGTGGATTGCCTCTTCCTTTTTCTGCTTTGAGAGGTCTGTCTCTTCACTTTCTCTGTGAGCTCCAATTTTCCCTTTAGATCCTTCCTGGGTCCCACAGATCCACCTCCCTCTTTTTTTTTTTTTTTTAGACAGAGTCTCACTATGTAGTTCAGGCTGGCCTTGAACTCACTATGTAGCCCAGGCTGGCCTCGAACACAAAGCAATCCTCCTGCCTCAGCCTCCTGAGTGCTGAGATTACAGGCGTGTATGACATACCCAGTTCCCCTCCTTCTTTTCTTCCCCAAGTTATTATTTTCCAGTTTCTGGATTCCAAATCATGGAGACGTTGATTTGTTGGTGCTGTTCTCTCCACCATCTTCCTAGAGGTCTCCAAAAAATTTTTTTCTTTAGAGTTGAGGATGTAAGTTCAGGGAGAAGGCCTTGGGTTCAATCCTCAGTACCAAAGGGGAAAAAAAAGGAAGAGGGAAGAGGAGGAGGAAGAGAAGGACGAGGAGGAGGCGGAGGCCCAAGAGCCCAGAAGCTAGGAATGCAGTTGGATTTCACGAGCAGGGATTGTGAGCTGAGTTCAGAGAGAGCAGAGTGAGCTGCAGGCCCAGGGCGGGAGCCCAAGGGCAGGGGCTGAGGGGAAGAGGGGCAGCAGGTAGCGTCCATACTCTCAAGGGCAGAAGCCATCAAGACGCCATCATGGTGGCACATGCCTGTGATCCCAGCACTTGGGAGGGAGGCTGAGGCAGGAGGATCACTGAGTTTGAGGCCAGCCTTGGCTACATAGTGAGTTCAAGGCCACCCTGAACTATGTAGTGAGACCCTGTCTCGAAACAACAAAATGTTGGGGGCGGAGAGAGAGAAAGAGAGAGAGAAGGGGAGGATCCAATGACAAGAGGATGCTTTATTTTTGTGTATTAGGGATTGAACCCAAGGTCTTCACAATGAGCTACACCCTCAGGCTTTATACTTTTTATTTTGTGATGAGGTCTCATTGAGTTTTCCAGTCTGGGCTCAAACTTGTGACTCTCCTGCCTCAGCCTCTCAGAGTGCTGGGACTATAGGCGTGCACCACCACACCAGGCTGACTGCTGTTTTCATCTGAAAATGTCTGTCAAAGCCTCAAGAAGATCTAGAGGATTCCAAGAGGCTGGGTTTGGAAGTTGGCTCCATGAGGGGAGGGATTCCTCAGTGAACAGGATCACAGAGCTATGACCACCACCTGGCCCAGAACAGCTGCTTGGGAGCTATTTGTTAAATGAATCAATGAAACACTGAGACAGCCTTCTACTCTAACTCCCTGTCTGGCCTCTCAGTTCCTGGGAAGACATCCCAGTCTCGAGGCTGTCCAGGCTGGGGCTGCATCCTCACCTGTGGGGAGAAAACAACCCGGAGCCAGCTCATTCTCCCTCAGGATGGTTCCCCTGTCATTGCCCTGTCACTTCCACTCCTGGGCCCAGATCTACCTGCTTCTAACTCTGAAGGCAGCAGAGGGAAGATGTCCAGGAAGCTTTTTTTTTTTTTTTTTTTTTGAGAGAGAGAGAGGGCCTCACTCTGTAGTTCAGGCTGGCCTGGAACTTACTATGTAAGCCCAGGCTGGCCTCAAACTTTCAGTGATCCTTTTGCCTCAGGCTCCCGAGGGGTAGGATTACAGGTGTGCGCCACCATGCCCAGCTCTTCCACCTGTTCTTGACTGGGCCTCTGCAGGGTTCCTGGAAAGACGTTTCATGTCATTGTGTCCATGTGCACCCAAAGCCTTCTGGAAGTTTCCAGCTCAGAGTGAAGGCTGAGGCCTTCAAGGCCCCCGCAAAACCACCTTCCATTGTCACCGGCTGTCTCCATGCCGGGGTGAGACACGTTGGCAGTCACAGCAACACACTGGCTGAAAGTTTTTGTTTTTATTGTTCAAGAATTCTTTACAAAATCCACACTCATACATCCACACACATACAAGATGCCCTGGCATTGGCCCTCCCGGGCTTTGCTCAGGGAAAGCCGCCCTACAGGAGCCTGGTGTCCCCTGCAGGGAGCAGGCAGGAGTGATCCAGAGACAGGCTGTCCCCTTCTCTCCTCCGAGCTCCCTGAGTTGCCCAGCTCAGGTCCCCAGTGTCCCGCTGGCTAAGGCCTCAAGTCCATCTGTCGGTTGAGCTGTCCCCACCCTGAAGAGGGGTTTCAAGTTGCCCAGAGGGCAGAGGCAGAGCAGGGACAGAGCTCGGCTCTTCTCAGCCACCAGGAGGTGGGGACACTTTGGGAAGGCACCAGCTAGGGCCTGGGCAGGAGGGGAGTGCCCGGAGGGTGTGCCAGGACTATAATGGTCTGCCCAGCGGGCCCTCTGTGACTGCCCTCGTGGCCTGCTCAGGCACACGGCTTGGGTCGGTCAGGATACTGGTGGACGCACTCAGCTGGCGAAGGGAGCTCAGGACAGCTGGGGAGACAGAGACAGAGGCACCTGCTGAGGTCAGGGCTGAAGTCCAAGCAATGGCGGGAAATCCCGGTGGGCCAGACTGCCAGCCCTCCCAGGACCTCCGGTTGCAGCCACTATGGTGAGGGGAGGGAGAGGGCCCCAGGGGCCCAGGTGGGGCAGAAAGCCTGGCACCTCCGAGGACTGGGCAGGCAGGAGCTCACGTACTGGGCCGGAGCACGGGCAGGGAGCAGTACTGATCCAGCCAGGCCAGCGAGGTCTGGCGGAGGCTGTGCAAACTTGCCGTGGACACCATCCCATTGAAGGACTCGAACAGAGGGCGGATGAGGATGCTGAACTGGGCCTGGGTCAAGGAGCAGACTTGCGGTCCTGATGGTACCCTCCATCCCTGACTCCACTTGGGGGAGGAAGGGCTGGGCCTTGAACTACAAAGCTGACTCCTGCTGCTCCCCCTTCGCATCCTCCCATCCCAACTCTGGCTCTCAGCCCCCCTGCCTGCTTGCTCCCTAGCCTGCTAGGCTGTCCCCCATCCATGGGCTCCCTACCCTAGCTCAGTCAAGAACCCGAACTCTTAGCTAGGTAAGGGAGTGGATTCCATGTCTTTGATTTTCTGAGTATTAGGAATTGAGCTCAGGGCCTTTGCACTGAGCTATCCCCAGCCCTTTTTTAATTTTATATTTTGAGTCAGGGTCTGGCTAAGTTTCTAAGTCATCCAAGCTGGACTCCAACTTGTGATCCTCCTGCCTCAGCCTCCCAGAGTTCTAGGAATACACTGGCTGTATTCCACATCTTCTCTAGGCCTCACCAGTTAGAGTTCTGATTCTTCAGGCTGCCTTGGGGGTTTCCTCAGGGCAGGGCTGTGCCTCCCCTCACCCAGGGGCTCTTCTGGTCCCACCTCCCCAACCAGGCTTCCTCTCAGCCCCCAGCCCATCACTGGGCAACACTGCTGGCCATGGCCTGGGGGCCAGGTGGGTTGGGAGATAATCAAAGCCCACACCCCAAGGCCCATGAAGCTGAGCCTGCATTCTTGGGCACAGCTGAGTCTGGCTGCAGTGCTCACCCAGCTGCCCCTGCTGCCCCCAGGCTGCTGACCCAAGTGTGGATACAACCCAGAACTTCCAGTTGTGCAGTGTTCGCGTCCGGACGTAGTCATCAAACATGTCTCGCATCTGGTCAAAGCGCTGGTGTGTGATGGGCACCCCCGTGGCGGGCAGCTGTTGCTGGCACCGGCTGTGGACATGGGTGGGTCAGAGGCCAAGAGCCGGAGAGCCACCTGCTCCCCTTACCCAACGCCCGCCTGGGCCCGGCCTACTTGATGGCAGCATTGAGCTCCTCGATCTCGTCCCGCAGCTGCTGGGCCTCCTCCTGCAGGGCCGTCCGCTCCTGCTGCAGCATGACGATGTACTCGGCCGTCTTCTGCAGCGTGGTCGCCTTGCTCACCTGTGGGTGCCACCAGAGCAGGCCTAGGTGCCAGAGGCCCTGACACCCACATGTCTGGGGGCTCTGTGGTGTGGTCTCGGGTGGGGGTCCAGGAGGGGGCCTGGGGTGCCAGTCGGGGCGGGGGGGCTCACCTTGAGGCTGGGCTGGGCACTGAGTGTGCTCACAAGCCCGTGGAGGACGTCGAAGCCCAGCTTGATGTTGAAACGCCGCTTCTGCTCAGCCGAGATATGTGTAATGCGCCGGTTCTCAGTCTTGGGGAGCACAGAGGGTGAGCCCGGGAAGGAGCTGGGGAGGGACTGGGAGTGCAAACCCATCTTGTATCAGGATGGTGCTCACCTTGCTGTTGTCTGGCCGGCCCCGGCACAGGGAGGATGGAGGGGGAGAGACGCCCACACTCTGGGTGCCCAGAGCAGGCACGCAGTTGAGCTCCCCTGACAGCCGCCGCTCACTGCCTGTGGTGAGGACAGACACACCCAGACACACATGGGAGAGGGGGTCCTGTTGCCCTGTCCTTCTCATCATGGTCCCGACACAGTTCCCCTTCTTTCTTCTCTTCTCTCCCCTAGATCCCCCCAATCCCTGTAACCCGTCCTTACCACTGGGTGCTGGTGACAGCCGCTCTGCTTTAGGGACAATCAGGGACCTGGGAGGGGCCAGTGTGGCTGGGCCCGGAGGTGGCCGGGGCGGTGTAGGGGCCGGGGTTGGGGGAAAGAAGGCATGGGGGAATTCAGGGACCGTCTCCTGCTGGAATGCAGAAGGCCCAAAAGTTGGGGTGAAGGCCTTGGGCTCATCCCCACCTCCCACTGCCCACCGTCTTACCGGGGACCCCGGGGGCCGGAGGAGGGTGCTGGGCACAAGCAGTGGCTCCAGGGTTTGCTCGGTCTTGGCTGCACACAGGGAGACTGTGAGGGGCGCTGGGGCTGGCCCTACCCCAGCACCGCTTGGGACCCCTCTTGCCCCTAAAAGCCCATACTCATACTTCCATGCCACTTTGCCCCCTCTCCCCGACACCCTCTGTGCCCTCTCACCTGCCCTCAGCAGCTGTGTGAGGCAGGGGTTGCTGCCCCGGGCAGTGGCAGGGGCCAAGGTGGGGGGGTTGGCCTTTGGTCCCCTGGTGGATGGGGCAGGAGGCTTGGCCCTGGGCTGCACACCCTGAGGCATTGTGAAATGACAGCCCAAGGTGGGCTCTGGATACCCAGAAGGTATCAGGTCTATGGCGAAGGGATTGGGGCCTGGGGCAGGGCCTGGGATGGACTGAGCTGGGGTGGTTGGGAAGGCTACGGGAGCAGGCAGCAGGGACGCTCCCGGGCCTGGAGAGGCTGAGGGGAAGGGAAACCTGGCGGAGAAGAGGGGCTCCTCCTGCAGCACAGCAGGGGCTGAAATCCTGGGAGGGAAGGGAGGCGGGGTGCAGGGCTGCAGGCCCAGTGCCTTGTCAGGGGTGGGGTACTGGAGGAGGGGTGGAGGCGCAGGAGGCGGTGGGAGCTTGGGCTTGGGCTCTTCAGGAAGGAGGAAGTCAGGACTCAGGAAGGCACTGGGGTCCAAGGGGCCAGGACAGTTGTTCCGAGCCTGGTTTGGGGACAGAAAGACACTCAGCAGGGCAGAGGGCTGCGCTGGCAGCCACTCAGGCAGCCTGCTCCCTTGCTGAGCTCTGGACTGGGTGCTGGGGAGAGATGAGAGAAATGATCCTTGCTTTCCAGCACACGTGCACGAGTGCACACACACACACACATGGAAATTATAAGTAATGAGCGAATATCTTTATGCACAAATTAAGCATGACATAAAGCATCAATCTTCCTGCCCATCCATTCATCTGCCAATAATTTATCTATCTACTTACTAATTTAACCAACAAACCATCTGCTAACCACTCCATTCATCCATTCTTTGTCCATCCATCTACTAACTCACCTATCCATCTATCATTTACCCATCCATCCAACCATCCATCCTCCCCCCCATTTACCTACTTATTCTCTCATCCATGAGCTAGTTCATTTACCTAACCCAACACCAGCTGGCCAAGTATTAAGCTATTTACCAATGCAACTATATACACTTCTTTTATTCACTCACCAGCCCATCCATAATTCACGCGTCCACCCATCCATTCATCCATCCATCTGGAGTACCCCGTACCCCAATTTGGGGTGCCCTGGTGAACCCTTAAGTCGGGGTACCTCACACCCCAATCATCCATCCATCTGCCCACCACCCACCCATTCCCCATCCATCCATCCATCCATCCATCCATCATCTGTACATTTACCAGCCATTTCCACCAGCTCATTCATCAATCCATCAAACTACTTATAAATCTATAAATCCATCCACCAGCCCATCCACACAGCCAACCACTCATCTCCCTATATATTCAGCAACCCACACATGGGTCCACTGCCATCTACAACACATTCTCCCATTTGCCAACACACGCACCCATCCACACCCTTGCTCACCTACCGCACACCACTTACTGCTGTGCCTGGACTACACTAGGCACCGAAGAGCCAGTAGTGAAGTGTGCAACCTTTCCAGCATGGAGCTCAGAGTCTGATGGAAGGGCAGGGAAAAGCACCTAATGCAGCAGCTGAGGCACATGCGAATTGGGCCTGGGACTCCTTGAGTTGAGAATGTCAATTCACTTTCCTAAACAGGTGCTCAGCTTCCTGCTTCCAAAGCTTCCCTTCCTGCAGTTCCTTCCAAATGGCTTTCAGTCTACCAGTTTCTTCTGCCCAAACCTGACCAGTTAGTTCACTAAGGCCCAGAATTTCCCTCCTCCAGGAAGCCTTCCAGAGCAGCCTGGCCCTGGGGATGCCCTGCTCTGAGGTCCTGCTGCCGTCAGCCTGCCCCACCTCCATCTTGCCTGGTTCTGAGTCAGGGACCTCCCGCCTAGGGCCAAGCTGGAGACTGGGCTCTCGGGAAGGGCCCAGCCACCCCTGCACAAGGGCAGGGCTGGAGGTGACCTGGGCAGGCTGCTCAGGAAAGGTGAGCTCACCTGCAAGCGGTTCTGTCCTGGGAGGTGGGGCAACCCCAAGGAGACCGGGGGCACCTCCGGGGCCAGGATCCCACTGCTGAAGCTGGACTCAGCCATGGGGGTGAAGCTGGGGGGCTCTGGGAAGTTTGAAGCCATGGGCGTCTGTGGGGGGCGGTAGTTGGTGAAGAAATCTGTAATTCGGACACACAGGACAGTGGCGATTAGGGTTCATGATGTCACTGGGCCCTGTGTCCTGGGGTAGGATGAGGCGGAGGGGGAGGGGGGTTTCCACAGGCGACTGTGAAACTGGGGGAGCTTCTGTCTGGCTCAGGGGAAGCAGCCAGAGGCTGGGGTGCAGGGCCAGAGTGGGGATGGAGGGGCCGGGAGGCGGTGAACAGGGTCCCCGGGAAGCAGCCCCCCCCCATGGAGCCCCGTGCTTGGCTCCCGGGGCCCCTTCCAGGGCCCACGTCCATCCCCGTACCAGCTCTATCTAGGAAGTGGGGCCATAGAGAAGGCCTGCGAGGGAAAGGGGTGGGGTGCAGGGGAGCAGCCCCAAGTGGGGGGAGTTCGGGTGAGTTAGGGGTGACTGAGGTCAGGGTGGTGGCTGAGACAGAGCGGCAGATTGTGGGGAGGTGGACAGGTGGGGCTGTAAGAGCACAGCCTGGGGTGGGGTGAAGGGCCAAGAGGGGATGGTCAGGGGCCCAAGGGGGCCCAAGGGGTCCCAACACGGGGAGGTGTGAGGGGGCCGGGCGGCTGGAGTGTTTGGGCTTCGGGTTGTGTAAGCCCCGCGCTATTCTGGTTTTGGGAAGCAGCTGCCTGCGGCCTAACCACATCCTGGGCCTGGCTGCCGCCGCCCGCCTGCCCGCTCCCTTCCGGGCACCTTTCTCTGACCCTGGCCAGCCTGTGCCAGTTCCCGAGGCCACCGGGGCTGGTCAGACCCGGGCCCCTGTGCCAGCTCCCAGCCAGCCTGGGGTGGCCCAGCCCACCCTTTCCCTCCAGGCCCCTGGCAGGAGAGTTAGAGAAGGGCGCACGGAAACCAGGACTTACAGGATGAGCCGCGCTTGCATGCATGTGTGTGTGTGTGTGTGTGTGTGTGTGTGTGTGTGTGCGCGTGCGTGCGCGCGCACGCGCGCGCCAGTCTGTCTGTCTGTCTTAGGTGCCTGTGCTCTGTCACAACACCCAGGCCTGGGTGTCAGGCATGAAGCCTCCACCGGTCTCCCTGCCCCTATGTCCACAACGAGTCCCTGTCGGGGCTGTGACAGGCTCGTTGTGTACACATCTACCTGCTCTGTGCCCTCATCTGTGTCTTTCCCAGCACCTGGTTGGCTTTTTTTCCCCTTTCTTTGTCATGGAGATTGAACCCAAGGCCTTTGCACTGAGCTACATCCCTACCCCTTGGCTTATTTATTTATTTATTCACTAAGTTACCCAGGCTGGGGTTAAAGTTGAGATCCTCCTGCCTCAGCCTCCCAGAGCGCTAGAATTATAGGTGGCATGCACCACCATGCCCAACTAGAAGGTGGCTTCTTGCTGTCCTGCTGCCTTTCTCTCACACAGGGATGGGTGGGACCAGGTGGTGGTCGCTGATCCTCTACCCGTGACTCCCCAGAGACCACCGGCCTTCTCCTTAGGCCACCTGAGGCCCAGGGCTTTAGCACCAGCCTCACACTGGGGCTCCCTGCTCAGCGTTGCTGCCCAGCCGCGGGGCTTGAGCAGAGGGCGTAGAGTGACAAGCACACTTCATTCCGAGTCCCAGCCACCCCCTCACCACGACTGCCACTTGTCCCCACACTGCCTTGAGAGGAGCCACTTCCTGCGTGGCCCCTGTTCCTCAGCACCTGAACCTCCTCCGCAACCCCTCTCCCTCGGGCATCCTCTTGGCACCCGGCCTCACCCAGCCCCTGGCCCGCTCCCGCTCATTCTGCCCTCCCGGGGTTCCCAGCCTGGCCTCTCCAGGGAGGGTCTCTTGGGGACTCTCAGAAGGGAAGCTCTGGGCCCCAATGCTCACTGCCCTGCCAGTGCATGCAGTGTGTTCAAGGGCCACGCCGGGCGCCTGCTCTGTGTGACCCCATGTGTCCCCACCCGGCAGCCCCCTGGAGGGACAGCAGTCGCTGTCCAGCCCCAGTCTCTGGGTTTTGCCCACAGCCCGGATGGGCACAGTGGGCTCCTACCTGTGCCAGGGGTCTGTGTGTCCAGACAGGGCGGCCGCCCTCCCTGGCTGCTCTGCCTCCAGGGCACTGCCATCTACACTTCTGCCCCTGACAGCCCCCACCCAGCCCAGGGCTGGGGGAGTTCCTCATTCCCCGGTCTCCGCCCCATAGGCCTCCACCTCTTGATTGACAGGCCCGGGACCCTGTGGGGAAGGAGCTGGAGGGTCCCTGAACAGAAGCTTCTATGCTAGGGACCCTCTTTCTGTCCCGTGGGCCTTGGCTGAGCCAGGCTGAGCCCCAAAGTTTACCTGTCCCCCAGAGTGGTTCTGGAGGACCCTAAATTCTTGTATACGGGGACAGCCTGCAAGATCTACAGTAAGGTGAGGAAATCAATGGAGGAAAGAGTCCATCAGGATAAAAAAGATGCCCTGCTTACAGTGGCATGAATATCTCTGGAAAGATACCAGGAGACCAGGAACTTGGTGGCACTCGGGGCAGGAGAGGAGACAGGAGACTCACTGCTTTATAAAAATGCTTTATAAAATCTGAACCAGATGGGGGGGTGCATGCCTGCAATCCCAGTACTCTGGGAGGCTGATGCAGGAGGATTCCAAATTAGAGCCCAGTTTGAGCAATTCAGTGACTTAGCAAGATCCTGTCTAAAAATTATAAATAAATAAATAATACTGGGGATGTAGCTCAGTATGATGGCCCTGGGTTCAATCCCCAGTGTGGGGTGGGTGGGGCAGAACTTGATGTCTGGGATTCTCTTAAAAATAGTACTGGAAAGAGCCAGGAGCACTGGCATATGCCTGTAAGCCCAGCACTTGAGAGGCTGAGGCAGGAGGATCACCGAGACTTTGAGGCCAGCTGGGGCTACACAGTGAGTTCAAGGTCAGCCTGAACCACATAGTGAGACCCTGTCTCCCCCCCCCCAAAAAAAAGCAGGGGCAGGGCTTTTCAGATGGACCAACAGGGGCTGTGAGTTGGGGACATGGGCAACCCGGGGAGTTGTTGACCTATTCTCTCTACTTGTAGGTATGTTTGAAATGTTATTTAATGAATACATTTAGAAATGTAAGATGTAAACAATAAATAGAACCAAACAGATGCAAGTCCTCCTCTTCTCTGAGAGTCTTGTAGCCACAGCTTTCCTTCGACCTCAAAGCCCCTGGCCCCCTGGTCCCCTCTGGCCCTACCCTCATCTGAGGGGGCCAGAGCGCCACACCCCAGACCTCAGGCCAAGGAGGACCAGAAGGACCACTCAGAAATGCCCCAGATCGCCTTCCCTTCGGAGCTCTGACCTGGCCCTCTCCCAGGGAGGTCCCTGCCCTACCTGAGATCTCCATGAAGTCGTCTAGGCTGGGCTGCAGGGGTGTCAGGTCCGGCTGGATCATGTCAGCATTGCCCACATAGGCTGGAGAAGCAGTGGTGACGTCAGGAGCAGCAGGCAGGGTAGAGTTGGGGGCACCTACCCCTACCCCTATCTTAGGTGCCCAAGCTCCTCTCCCCTGCCCAGTGCCCAGGGCAGGCCCTCACCGTGCTCGGGGGGCAGCTGCAGGGCTGAGGAGCTGGGCTGCGTCATGGTGAAGAGCGTATCGGAGATGTCGGACAGAAAGCAGTTGAGGTCCAGGAGCTGCCGCCCGCCAGGCTCCTCCTCGGGCCCCCCCAGCAGCACAGGCACCACACTGGAGAAGAGCTGCTGGCACCATCGCTCTGGCGGCGGCCACCCCCCTTCGGCCTAGCGACACAGAGTGGTCACTGCCCAGGTCCCTGAGACTCACCACCCCACCTCTCCCCGGCTTGCTGCCTGGAAGGCCAAGGTTCCTTCATGCAGCTACGCTTTGTTCTGTCAGGAACCGGGGTCCTTAGGGTGCCATGTCCCCCACGCCTCCCGTCACCTGCTCAGGGGCCCCCTGGGAGTCTGCCCACGACTTTGCCTCCCAAGGGGAAAAGGCTCAAGGAATCACCCAGAGGATGGTGGCCACGCCCACTCCTGCATCCCACCCTCACGCGCAGACACCGCACACGCAGGCCACCCAGGTGGAAAGACTGCAATCCACCTACCTAGGGACCCCAGATTCCCTGCCCTGTGGGACTTACCCAGCACCCACCTGCTTGGGGGCCAAGAGATCCCCTTCCCTGCTGGACTTACGGAGCTGCGGGAATAGAATTGTAATTTGGGTTCCCTCCGGCCATCCCATCCGGGGGATTCCCCTTTTGGCCCCCTCCCCGGCCGCCCTGGGGAGTAAGCACGTTACGAGAGCCTTTGGCCACACGGTGGCGCTGTCCGCTCAGCATTTTCTGAAGGGCTGGCGCTGGGGTGGGAGGTGGGGGTGGGACTGGAGGTGGCTGGCAGCGGCCGGGAAGCTCGGGGCTCCGGCCGCGGGCCCCCACTGACCCGCTTCTTGTAGTAGATGCGCCACTTGTGGTACTCGCGCATCACCACCTCGATGCGCCTCTTCCAGTAATTCCCCTCCAGGACGACGGCCTGGGGAAGGTCCGGACGGGCTCAGAGCAGGGCGACGCTGCGCGCTGCTTCCTCGCCCGGGTCCCGCCCCTCACCGATCCCCGGGTGGGTGCAGCCCCAGCTACCTCTGGTTTGCGGTGCTCATCGGCCTCCGGCCCCTGCAGGGGCGTCACGAAGCCGCACACGGGGCTCTTCCTCCGCTCCACATCTGAGAGAGGGGGACCAGGTCAGGAGCACCCAAGCCTCATGCCCACCCCACGCGGACTGAGACCCAAGGGACACCCTGCGCAGTTCTGCCTGCCGTGGATGCCGGCGTGAAGCGCTGCCGCCGCTCCAGGAAGTCTTCCCGCCTGCCTGGGCCTCCTGTTTCTCCTGTCAACCCCCACGGGGATTGACCCGAGGGCCTTCACACTGAGCTACATCTCTAGACCTTTTATTTCTTATTTATTTAGAATTTGAAACAGGTTGTGGCTAGGTCTGAACTTGAGATCGTCCTGCCTCAGCCTCCCAGAGTGCTGGAATTACAGGCGTGTGCCACCACACCTGGTGATCTTCCCCTTCTACTCCTCCCCTGGTTCCTTAGGGAGCTTGGTAGGGGACCTCCCTCCTCCTGCCACGGGTGGATGGACACGGACTCTGCCCAGCGCCCACTCTCAATTTTCCCTGCTGCCTCTTCCTAGCTCCACCCCAGGATCCCAGGATCCTCCCCCAAGATGACCCCAAATTCACCATTAGGAGTCCCAAGCAGCTCCCAGCATTCCCCATCTAATCCTCAGACAAACAATTCCACAGGGCCGGACTCTGGCCTCAGATTCTGCAGCCCTTCTTCCTGCTGCAGGCCTGACCCTTCCTGTGACTCCCTAGGACCCCAGGAAAAGGACTTTGCTCCTCAGCTTGGTTTCCCAGCTCCTCCTGCTGCCACCTGCTTCTCTATGTGTCCCACCTGGAGCCACAAGCCCACCGTTTGGCCCTCTTCCCCTCCTCGGTCTCTTCCAGCCCAGCACTCCTGGAACCGTCCTCTCAAGCCCCAGGGCCCTGTCCTGACAGGAACCTTCCTCCCCTCAGTTCTCTGTCGATTTGCACCACCCCACCCTGGAGTGGAGGCAGGAGCAGCTGCCGTCACAGAGCAGGGCACTCACCAGACCTTCATTAAGGATGTGGCCTAGTGGTTAGCACTTACCTAGCAGGTACAAGGCCCTAGGTTCCATTCCTGTGCCACACACACACAGGCAACTCTTCTTTTTTTTTTTTGGTGCCCGGGATCAAAATGAGGACCTTGTGCATATGAGGCAGGCAGAGTGCCACTCGGCTAAATCCCCAGACCAGAGGCAATTCTTTTTTTTTTTGGTACCAGAGATTGAACTCGGGACCTTGTGCTTACAAGGCAGGCGCAGGAACCACTGAGCTAAATCCCCAGCCCACAGAGGCAACTCTTATAGAGAGGACAGTCATTAAAGCTTCTAGTCCACAAGGCTCTATCCTGCCTCAGCCAACTTCCTTTGGGACTGATGAGGACACAGAGGAGGGGGACCTCAGGAACAGGACATTTAGTAGGATTTTGGCATCATTTACACAGCTGTGCCCTAAAGGACATTGTCCCTAGTGGGCACTCATAGAATAGAAGGACGGGCTTGGTGCTGGCTGCTGGAGCCCTAGGTGTGTAGACTCCCAGGGGCTTAGAGCCAGGAGGTCTCAGAGTGTCTGTCCCCCTCTTCCTTGAGAAGGGGGGGACACCAGGGCCCCAGAGTACCTGAGCTCCAGCCTGGCTCTCCCTGCCCCAGCCCAGGGTCCCTGTGCTCTGGACAGTGGGGCTGTGCCCAGGAGGCTGGCACAGGCTTCATTTTGCACTGATAAGTCCCTTCGTCCTCTAACCCTTTCCTTTTTTGCTGGGACAGATGCGGGGACAGGGATCCACATGAATCAGGGCTCCAGGGCTCACAGCTCAGCGGGCTGATAAGGAGAGCAAACAAACAGCCCACAGATAAAGCAGGTGGAAAGTCCTCCCTTCCCAGAAAGGTGCAAAGGGCCTGGGAGGACTCGGGAGTGGGAGAGAGGCACTGAGCAGGAAGGAAGGCTGTGGAAGCCAGGACCTGCAGAGGGGCAGTGGGGCTCTTCCTGGTTGAGACTAAGGTCATGGGAATGGAAGGAGGATGAGTCTGCTCCAGCAGCTCCTCTCCCTCTCCTTGTAGCCACCTTCAAATTTTGCAGTCTAGGAAGGAGACAGGTGCTCAGTGCCCTTTTTTATGTGTTTGTTTGTTTGCTTGTTTTGAGACAGGGTCTTACTATGCAGTTCAGACTGGCCTTGAACTCACTGTGTAGCCCAGGCTGGCCTCAAATTCATGGCGATCATCCTGCCTCAGCCTCCCAAATGCTGGAAGTATAGGCGTGTGCCACCACGCCCAGCTAAGTCACACTGCCCGCCGTGTGCTCCCATGGTGACAGCAGTGATCACCCTCAGTCCCCGCTGCTCACAGCCTGGGGGCCCTCCAAGCACCGGCTCAATGCTCTGAAACCCACGAGCTCACTGACAACTCACAGTGACCTCGGATGCCAGACCTGTCGTGACTCATTTCACAGATGTACTCCCTTCAGGTCGGGGAGGGGGCACAGATGTCCCCATGGGCCTGCGAGGGCTCAAACACAGCTCTATTCAACTCTGTCTGGGTAAGGACCTCAGGGACCTCTGGCCAGAGTTGGCATCAAAAACTGCAAGCTGGGCCGGGGATTTAGCTCAGTGGTTTCGCCGCCTGCTGCACAAGCGCAAGGACCCGAGTTCGATCCCTGGTGCCAAAAGGAAAAAAAAACAACTGCAAGCTGGGCATGGTGGTACATGCCTGTCATCCCAGCACTCAGAGGCTGAGGCAGCAGGATCAAAAGTTAGAGCTGAGCCTGGGCAACTTATTGACTTAGCCAGACCCACTCTCAAAATAAAGATAAAGCACCCACATGCACACACAGCTCTGAGGGGACGAGGGAGCCTGGGGGTGGCCTGACACTGACTCCTTGGCTTATCAGCTTCCTAGTGTAGCCCAGGACACAGGTTCTCCAAATGGCAGAACTCTGGGAAGGCATCCAAAAGGCAGGTGGCTCCCACTTCCCTGAAACCCTGGGCCCCTGCCCTGCAGGGACCCACACGCCCTGGGGGAGGACTGGAAGCCAGCCTGCCACACCACAAGCTCGCAGCCCCGAGTCTCCTCAGCCCTGTGACCTGGCACAAGTCACCTGCTGTGTGGGCCTCAGTGGCTCAGCCACAGGCCCGGAGTCCTGAAACCTGCCACTGACAGTTGTGAGGACGTCTTAAAGGAGACGTTTTCCACCCTGCCTGGCACCCACAGATGCACAGAATGCAGAACGCTGCCCCATCCCTGCCTGCAGACCCAGGCCAGACCCAAGCCCAACAGAGCAGGCTGGTGCCACCCTGGGCTGTGTGTTCCAGGGCGAATGCAGCTTCGCTCCTGTGTGGGGCTGAATGGAGATGGGCAAAGTCCCCACGGGGGCCACCTGGGCCAAGTCCTCTCAGCCTCCCATGTCCTCCTGAGGGGCTGTCCCCAAATGAACGGCTGTGACTTCCTTGGGATATGTTTGTTATTTTCAGGTATTGGGGATTGAATCCAGTTCCTTCACACTGAGCTCCATCCCCAGCCCTCTTTCATTTTTTATTTCGAGACAAGGTGTCACTAAGTCACTAAGTTGCCTGAGCCTGTCTTGAACTTGTGATCCTCCTGTCTCAGCTTCCCACAGTGCAGGGATGAAATGGTGTGAGCCACCACACCTGGCGTATATCATTTATTGAACACCAATTTAGTGCTAGGCCTTTTGACATCTATAGTTCCCACATGAACTGTGAAACATAGGACTATTAGTCTCATTTTAGAGAAACAGAATCAGGCTCAGAGCGGCTAGGCAACTTCCCTGAAGTCACACAGCCAGCCAGGGGCAGAGACAGGGTGGGGAAACTTCTCTGGGTGACTCTTAAGACCAGGGTCCCTTCCCTATGTCACATGTCCACAATGGGCACTGCTGGGCATTCAGGAAAGACTTCGAGGAGAGGCTGATAGAGACACACGCGTGACCCTCCTTGGTTCCTCATGGACAGACATGGTGCACCCAGCCCAGGTGACCTAATGTAGCTTTGTCCCCTGCCTTCTGAGGCACCTGATGACACGATTAGGATGCAGAATGGGCCTTGAACCAGTCCCCACATCCCAGCTTTTCTTTTGTGTGTGTGTGGTACCAGGGATCGAACTCAGGGCCTTGCACTTATGAGGCAGGTGCAGTACCACTGAGCTAAATCCCCAGCCCAGCTTATTTTTTCTTTTTAGCACTTCTGGAGATTGAACCCAGGGCTTTTGCACCGAGCTACATCCACAGCCCTTTTGGATCTTTCATTTTGAGGCAGGGTCTCACTAAGTCACTAAAGTGCCCAGGCTGGGCTTGAACTCACCATCCTCCTGCCTCAGCCTCCCGAAGTGCTGATGATAGCCATGCACCACCACACCTGGCTTCTTAGCCTACTCCAAGGTGTGCCGTCTGCTGTGCCCGGCTTCACAAGGAAAGCACCCTTACACACATCCCTGAGACGCTCTGGGGTCCTGGTGCTGGGGGCCTGGCTGCCCCCTGGGGCCCTGGGGGTTCTGCAGGCAGCCCCGGGCCAGGGCAAGGTCCTTCCTGTGGCTAGGAGCCCAGGGTGCCCACTCACACTGGATATACCAGGCTCTCCAGATGGCGTTGTTGAGGCGGATCTTGTCTCGGCACAGCAGCTTGAGGCCTTTGAAGTTCTTCCACTTGGGAGAGACCAGCTTGCCGCTGTCAGGGGAGAGGGAGGTGAGGGTGGGCTGAGGAGAAGGCGGGGCCTCTGCAAAGTGCACTTTTCACTCTCCTTGTGCACCAGGCTTCCATCTATGGGTGCAATTTGAGGGATCCCCAAATCCCACCCCTCATCCTACCTGCCTGAAGTTCCTACCCTGGAGTCTGACCTTGAAGATCCCCTCCCAGGTGCCCACCATGTGCTCCTGCTTGTCCATCTGCTCCCGAACCACAGCTAGAGAAGCTGAGCTGCTCTGTCAGCTCAGGGCTCAGAACCAGAGGGCCCTGCATGGCCCAAAGGTTCCCCTCTCCTAGGCTGTCTGGGAATAGTGCTTGGACCTCCGAGGTATGATTGAGAAATACAGTGTGTGTTTACATTTTAAAAATTATTACAGTAAAACTCTACTGCTGTGAGTTCCCCTCAGAATACTTCCCCTCCCTTCTAACACTCTCATCCATCATTCTGGAAGTCCTCTTTCATAAAGGTCTTTAGTCATACTGTCATGGCTGCCCCAAGGTCCCAAATCAATTCAAAGCATTTCTCTTTCATGATCATTTTGACTTTGTGGAAGAGTCAGAAGTCACACACAGTGCCAGATCCAGTGAGTAAAGTAGATGAGGAGACACCATCATGTTTTTGTGAGCCTGCCTCTCCATTGGATGGCGCTCGGCAGCCACTTGCATTGTTTTTTTTTGCTGTTGGTTTTTTTTTGGTACTGGGGATCGAACTCCCGTCCCTGAGCTTTCGGGGCAGGCGGCGAAACCACTGAGCCAAGTCCCCGGCCCAACTTGCATTGTTTTTGATCACACCTTGTAAAGACCCTTATGAAAGGACTTCCAGAAATGCTCCAGAACTGGCAAGAACTGTGGGATCAGTGTTTGAAGTGAGGGGGGAGAAGTCTGAGGCACATTAATAGCAATGTGTCTTTTGCTGTAGTAAATGTTTTTTATGTAAAACCATATTGTATTTTTCAGTCTCCTCTTGCAGTTCTTATTTAAGAATAATAAGAAATAATCTTCCTGAGAGTCAGGAAGGGAAAAGGACATCCTCAAGGTTACACGGCAGGGACTCACTCAGGGCCTGTGGATTTTCTCTATATTTGCTGGCCTCCTTAGGCCTGGGGGATGGGGACAGTTTGCTGGATGCAGAGGGAGCCTGTCCCCCTGGGGTGGCCTTAGAGCAGCCAGGCACTGTGTTTTTGTGTCTGCATCTATGATGTCAGGATGGCACTTTGAACTGAGCTGGAAGGTGGGCCCTCCTCATGGGCATCATAATGCAAAGAGCCATCAGGACCCAAGGGCAGGCAGAGGAGAGAAAGCACCCTAACTCAGACCCTAGCGGGCCAAATTCATGAGCTAAGCCAGGTGTGGTGGCACATGCCTGTAAACCCAGCACTGTGGGGGGCTCAGGCAGGCAGATCTCAAGTTCAAGCCTAACCTAGGCAATTTAGTGACTTAGTGAGACCCTGTCTCAAAAGAAAAACTAAAAAGGGCTGGGGATGTAGCTCAGGGCAAATCCCTAGGTTCACTTCCCAGTACCACAAAAACAAATAAAGCACAAAGCAATGTTCATGGAGTCCTAGGGCTTCTCACAGGTGCTGGCCTGACTCTCTAGGTACCATATTAGCCAAGTTCGTCGCCACCATGAAGCCGTCCCAGGAGGCCAAGATACTCAGTCTTAGGGTCCTGCAGTTCCTCCCTTCCTCCCTCCTTCCTCAGGGTCCATTTCCACAGGAACCCTTCCGGCCTCCTTTCTCCAAGCCTGGCTCACACACAGTGGCTGCGTCTGCCCTCTCGGCCAGTCTGACTCCTCAGCTCCTCTCCCTGCAGCTCCTTTGGGTGTATGGCTCATTGGGTCCCTGCTCCTCTCTGGTCTCCAAGCTCCTGTGTTTGCTCTGGGGGCTGCAGGGGGCGGGGTGGGGATTGCCATCTCAGGGGACAATAGGGCTCATTACCCAAGTAGAGAACATAGCCAGGGCCCTGCCCCGAGGGCTGGTCCCCTCCATCCTGCAGTTAGATAAACACCATCTGTCTGGTAAAGAGACATGGCCCGTGGGGGAAGGGGGTCTGCTCCTCCTGAGCCAGCCTCTTTTGAGATACCTGGTCAGGGGACTCCTGAGTGTCACCCGGGCCTGTATCCCAGCCACCTCCCACCCCACCGACCACCCAAGGTGCCACCCAGCCTGCCTGTCTCCTCTCTTTCACCTGCCTGCTGAGGTTGGTGGCCCAGCCATGGTGGGGGGACACAGTGACAATATCCAAGCCCAAGAGGAAGGGAGTTGGTTGGTTGGATGGTAGGGGAGTGGCTCAGCCTGGAGCACAAAGCCCAGGGCCAAGGTTCAACAGCTCCTTGTGACTGATGGAAACTCTGGAGCTACAGGCTGGGAGACCCTTCAGAACTCAGTTCGGCCCCTGACCATTCAGGAATTCCCACTAGAGAGCCCTGACAGGCCCTGTTGCCTTGGCTCTGTCCCTTAGGCCACCCTTTCCCTAGCCAGCCAGCTCTGCCCACCAACAAGTAGTTTCTTGTAGTCTTTGCAACCTAACTCAGAGCTTCCACTCCCACAGCCCCCAGGAACAGACACCTAGAAACTTCCTCCCACTCTCCACCCTGCACGGCAGAGCGAGGCAGCCAGGCTCCTGCAGGCTGTCCTCCTGCTGGTCCAGGGGCCCACTTCCTCCCTCCACCTCCTGGAACCCCTGCCTAGCCCTTCCTATCCAGTCCTCCCCTGGGACCTTTGGCTTCCAAGGACCTCCTCCAGGGAAACCCTTTATTTTAGTTTTTTGAGACAAAGTCTCACTGTGTATCCCAGGCTGGCCTTGAACTCTCAGTGATCCTCCTGCCTCAGCCTCACAAGTGTGCTGGGTTTACAAGTGTGCTCTACCACACCCCTTCAGTTAGGGACATCTGAAGGCTAAAATGCTGTCCCAGTCTGAGCCTGTATTTTTCCTCTTCCAAATGAGGAAACAAAGTCTCCGGACCTTTGAAGCAACCTCATTCTTGGTGCCTAGCCCCCCAACTCGGGACAAGGGAGATTTAACATTCTGGGTGTTGGGTCAAGATGCAGCCCTCTCCAAACCTGGCTGGGGTTAAGTCTCTTGGGGGAGCAGTTCTTGGGGTGTGCTGTCTCTCACTGGTCACCTCCCAGGACCTCCTCTCTCAGGCACCCATGGTGGGAGGGGGACAGGGCAAAGGCGAGCCAACAGCGGCAGAGCGTTGTGTAGTTGAAAGCTGGGAGCCGAAGAGGGCATGGTTGGAAAGTGGGGGTTCCCGGGGGAGGGGCCGGGGAGAGGGGCGGCGTCCATTGTACCGGGACCTCAGATGCCCCTTGCCGGTCTCGTGATGTTCAGGGCGGGAGCGGGAAAGGGACGGGAGTCTAAACTTTCTACATCGGTCGGGCGCCCAGCACGATCAGGTTGCAACATGACCTGGGCCGGTGGCCAGAACTTGTGGGCCAAGGTTACTCTGTCTCCAGCCAATGGGGTGCGTGGCTCGGCAGCACGGGCAGTGACGCGGCTCCTCAGTGCCCACCCCGGCTCCCGGTCCCCCGAGGCGGCGACAGGCGAGGGTCGGACGCCAGCGGTTCTCCCAGAGGAGAGGAGGCGCCGCGGAGGAAGAGGAGTATTTGCACAGAGAAAAAAGATCAGGGCCGGCTGATCCCCCTTCTTCTCTACTGTTTTTGGTTGATAATTTATCCCGGGTCCTCCGCTGCGGGGGACTTTGGTCCAGGGCACTGGGCCAGGACCCCGGTTCGCGCCCTCCGGGACACGGGCGTGGAGCCGGAGTCGGGTGCGGCCCGGGCGCTCTGCGACGCGCCAAGCCGGGGTCCCGGGCTTCGCCAGGCCCTAGGCCTCCCCCGCACCAGCCCGGCGCAGCCTGCAGCACCCCCTGCCGGGCTGAGGCCCAGAACTTCGGCGAGCAGCGCCCCTCTGGGCCAGTCGGGGCTTCCTCCTGCCACCCTTACTCCAGCTGGTGGAGAAAAGGTGTCTCCTGGGGATGGGACGGTCTGTGTGTGTTGGGGCGGGGGCGGGGGGGGGGGGTCGCAAGACTGGTTCAATTCAGTTTCAGTCAATGCTGGCCACGAACTGGGACAACCAAACCGGGCAAGGTGGCGGACGCCTGGAATCCCAGCACTATGGGAGGCGAAGGCAGGAGGGTCCCAAGTTGGAGCCAAGACTGGGCAATTGAGTGACACCCTGTCTCAAAATAAAAAATAAACGAGTGGGGATGTAACTCAGTGCAAAGGCCCTGGATTCAACCTCTAGTACTTCAAAAATTAGCCAGGGCCGGGGATTTAGCTCAGTGGTTCCACCGCCTGCCTGGAAAGGGCAAGGTCCCGAGTTCGATCCCCGGTACCAAAAAATAAAATAAAATAAAATAAAAATTAGGACAGCCATGGGCGCTGGGAGTATTGTAGTGTGCGGGGATGCAGGAAAAGAGTAGCTCTCCACAGGGCCTGCTGGGGAGGGAGTCGAGGTCCACAGCAAGTGGCCGCGTGGAATGGCCCGGGGGTGGAGTAGGGTCCTGGGAGCGCGAGGAATGACTGGGATTTCCTTGGGGACAGAGGCTCAGGGGGTGGGACCGGTGGGGACCTACAGGGGCGAAAGGTGGCAGGTCCGTTGGGCTGGGTCAGAAGAAGCTGAGGGCTTGGGGAGGGGACGCCCTGTTGTGGCCGCAGGCCCGGAGGAGCGGGCACCAGGCGCGCGTGGGTGACCAGGGCCGCCCCAGCGCGTCCGAGCGGAGAGCTGAGCCATCGGTCCGGCGCCGCCCTCACCTGTAGGCCAGGCTCAAGCACTCGAAGAGGCGCGTGAGTGTGGGGTCGATGCTGCGCGGCCCGAAGTCATCAAGTCCTACAGGTCCCTCCTGGTCGCGCCGCCGGGTCAGCGAGTCGCTATGCGGCGACGACACCATGAAGTGTCCGCTGTGGATGACCTGCGAGCGGAGCAGGCCGCCAGCGCTGCGCCGGGGACCCGGGTCCTCCGAGTCTGTGTCGGAGTCTGAGTCCGGGATGGAGACGACCCGCGGGACCTGCAAGCTCGAGGCCAGACCGGCCAGCGCCCGGGCCATGGTCACAGCTGCGACCACCTCGCCTGCGCTCCACAGAGCTACTTGCGGGAACCAGGTGGCGGGCTCGGCATTATTAGCATAGCCCCGCCCCTTCTCTGTGATAGGCCAGTCGAGTGGGCATGGCCCAGACGCCCCCGGACGGGGCGGGGCGGGACGGGGCGGGGCTGGTATAAGCATAACCAGTACTCCAAGAGCAAGTCTCGCAGCTCTGGCGCGTCTTCCCCTATCTCCTCTCGCTCTGCTGTGACCGCTCGGGGTACCAAAGCAACCACCTCCAGATGGGCCAGCTATCATCTCCTGATCCTAAAAGCGCCTTGGTGCCCGGGATTCGTGCATCCAGCGGGACATCCCCCTACCTAACTTCTATCCGCCTGCTCCACCCTCGACGCACTTTACCCTGGCCTCGATCCTAGGCACAGCCGGGAGTCCTCACCTCTCCGGAGGCTGTGGGGTCAACACAAGCAATGCCCCTAGAGGCCCGGCCCACGGGAGGTTGGCAGCTCCCCTAGTGAATCCTGCAAGACCCCAGCGGATTGTTATTGGTGGGGGAGGGCTGGAGACCGCCTGTCTGTGGTCACGTGGGAAACCTGGAGGAAGAGGTCAGCGGTCAGCTGTGTGCTGGAGCCTTGGGAAGGGGTCACACGTTTTGTTTGTTTGTTTGCTTTGATACTGAGGATTGAACACAGGGCCTTCGCACTGAGCTACAACCCCAGGCCTTTTACAGTTTTTATTTTGAGACGGTCTCACTAAATCAACAAGTCACTCAAATTTCAACTCTCCTGCCTCAGCCTCCCAGAGTGCTGGGATTATTATAGGCATGTGCAACACTTTCTAAGAACCCATGTTAGGATCACACAGCCCAGGACGACCCTGCCATTGTCCACAGGGACCCCGGGAACCAGTCAAGGAGCGACACCATTTGTCAAGGCCGTTCACAGGCCAGCCCTTCCATGCCCTCCCCTCACTGGCTCCCTGCTGCCCTGTGTGGGGAGTACGCCCTCCTGTCCCTCCATGGCCATCTGCACTTCACTTCCACCTCTTCAGGGCCTGATACATCTCTGAAGGTCCCAATGGCAAAAAGACAGCCCTGCCTATGAAATTCCAAGCAAAATAGCACTGAAGTAGGGTGCAGTGGTACACATCTGTAATCCCAGCAGTCTGGGAGACTGAGGCAAGAGGATCGAAGCCTGGGCAACTTATCGATTTAGGGAGACTCTGTCTCAAAATATAAATAAATAAATAAATAAATAAATAAATAAAGCTGAGGATGTAGCTCAGTGCAAAGGCCCTGGGTTCAATTCTCAATACAAAACAAAAGCACTGAAGTAAACAAGATGCAAGATGTCCACAAATCCTGACACGGTGGATGCAGGGTGGCCGTGCCCAGTGGGCAGTGGAGGCTTGGTGCAAACTGGCCCTGCTCACCTCTCACTGCCTTCCCATCTGTCCTCTATTAACCTCCGCCTAGAGTTTATAGCCTCTCAAACAAACAAGCCCAGTTCACAGTCCCTGGAGGTACGGGACAAGGTCTCGATTGGGGTATGAAGACCTGGCTGTCCCCAGTGGTCCTGCCTGACACCATGTCCTCCCTACCTCCCCGTCCGGCTCTCAGGGTTCCTCCCCCAACCGTCCCTGGTTGTCACAAGCTGGCCCATCTTTGATGGCACCCCTCTGACATCCTCCCCAGTCTCCAGGTTACCGTCTGAGTCCCCACAACCCTGGTTCCCATCAGTACAAGCTCATTTCCCTCTGCTCTGGCCAGGCACAGCAAGCAGTGCACAGGTCTCTCCTTTCCACTAGACGGCAAATTCCTTGGAAGCAGGAATCACATCCTGTTTCTCTCCATGGCCTGTTTTCCACCAAGTGCAAATGCACAAGTGGGTATTTGCTGAATAAATGAGTTTATGTTACACGAATCTATTAGACACTCCATCCATCCACCCATCCATCCATCCGTCACACAGAGAAAAAAGTTTATGTGTCTGTCCCAGTGCAAGCTATTTTACGGGGGCAGGGTTCTCAACACATTAATTGACCAACAACTCTGGGCTATCCTGTAGACACAAGAATTGATATGTTGGAGTGTTTAAAGTTTTACTTGTGCCAATATTAGAAACTGCCAGGCTCCGTGGCACACTCCTAACTACTTGGGAGGCTAAAGAGGAGAACTGCAAGTTCAAGGCCAGCCTGGGCAATTATTGAGACCCTGTCTCAAAATAAAATAAAACAAGGGAATTAAAAACCTTAGAAAAGAGCCAGGTATGGCATCACATGCCTTGAGGCTTAGGCAGAAGGATCTCAAATTGGACACCAACCTGGGCAATTTAGCAATTTTGCAAGATCCCATCTCAAAATAAAACATTTTGAAAAAGAGCTGGGGATATAGCTCAGTGTAAATGAAGGCTTTGGGTTCAATCCCGAGTATCAAACAAAAACCAGAAAAGTGGGCCCCGGGGGGGGGGGACACTAAAACACAGAAAAGCAACTGTTTGGTACTCTTTTTTCTTTTTTTTGGTTCTGGGTATCAAACTCAGGACCTTGAGCTTGTGAGGCAGGTGGCAGAACCACTGAGCCAAATCCCGGCCTTCTTTTTTTTTTTTTTTGAGACAGGGTCTTATTATGTTCAGGCTGCCCTTGAACTCACTATGTACCCTAGGCTGGCCTGGAACTTGTGGTGATCCTCCTGCCTCAGCCTCCTGAGTGCTGGATGTGATTACAGGAATGTGCCACCAAGCCCGGCTATTTGGCACTTTAATACCTATAGAGATAGAAAGTGGAAAGTATTGGGCCGGGGATTTAGCTCAGTGGTTCCAGCGCCTGCCTCACAAGCTCAAGGTCCCGAGTTCAATCCCCATTACCAAAAAAAAAAAAAAAAAAGAATGTGCGCATAACACAAAATGAAAGTGGAAAGTATTTTAGCAACTCCACTTGAGGTGGAAGAATGGGCATGGAGTTTCTTTTTGGAGCAATGAAAAGTTCTGGAAATAGTCATGGTAGTTGCACAACACTGAGTATACTAAGAACCACTAATAAAGGGTGAATTTTGTTTATTTATTTTTGGTTTTTGGAGACAGAGTCTCACTATGTAATTCAGGTTAGCACTGAACTCACTATGCAGGCCAGGCTGGCTTCAAACTCAAGGCAATCCTCCTGCCTCAGCCTCCGAAGTGCTGGGATTATAGGAGTGTGCCATCATGTCTGACTTTGAATTTTATAATATGTAAATTACACTTCAGTAAAATAATCAGGCACTTTTAGACATGATTGCATTTCCTGGTAATCCTTAACTGTGTGTATGCAGTGTGTCAGTATTTTCTTTTTTTTTTCTTTTGAGACAGAATCTCTTTATGCAGTCCAGGCTGGCCTTGAGCTCACTGTATAGCTCAGGCTGGCCTGGAACTCATGGTGAACCTCCTGGCTCAGCCTCCCAAGTGCTGGGATTCCAGGTATGCACCACCACACTCAGCTCGAAAGTGTCAGTATTTTCACCAGCATTTTACAAACATGGAAACTGAGGTCCTAAGAGGTTCTGGGAGACCCAAGTGAGGGTTAGCAAAGAGGAGTTAACATTTATGGGACACTTTCCACCCACAGATCCACAGAATCTTCACAAGAGCCTCATGACTTTGAACTTATCCTGTAAACAAACAGCAGGCTTTGGTAAAGGACACAGCTTTGTTTTATTTTGTTTTCAGTGTTGGGCATTGAACCCAGGGCCTGGAACAGGCAAATGGTCTAGCACTGACCGCCCCCCCCAACCCCAAAGGTCAGGTGAAAGGAACTTAGAATCAAACACAGGCAGTTTGATGCCAGTCTGTTCCCCAAGTAAAGAGCTTCTCAAATTAAAAGGACTAGCATACCCTTATAGTCCCATCTACTTGAGTGGCTGAGGCAGGAAGATCCCTTAAGTCTGAGACCACCCTAGGGAGCATAAGAAAAACAAAACAAAGTGCAAGGTCCTAAGCTCGATCCCCAGTAGCCCCTCCCCAAAATATCAATATTTCATTCCTTTGGGTCGTGGGGGATTTAGCTCAGTGGTGCCGCTGCCTGCCTTGCAAGCGCAAGGTCCTGAGTTCCATCCCCAGTTCTGCAAAAAAAAAAATCCCTGCCCTTGGGAGCCTGAGGCAGGAGGATCATCAGGAGTTCAAGGCCAGCCTGGGCTACATAGCAAGACTCTGTCTCAAAACAAAACAAAACTCCCCAAAATACCACTTTGAAAAAGAATTTGGCAAGGACCACTACAGCTGTCCCAGTGCAAGGTATTTGGCGGAGGTGTTGGGGGCATGTCTAAACACATTAATTGACCAACAACTTTAAGACCCAGCAATTCCACAGAAATGTGTGCCTATGTGCACCAAAAGCCATATACAAGACCATTCAGCACAGCACGGGGCTTATTCACCCTGTATTGGAAACAACCCACATTATCCATGGACGGGTGAGTGGAGACATATATACCACCTGCAGTCACAACATGGAACATCCACCCCGCCGAGGTAAAGGCCACAGGGTCAGCTGTGTGTTAGGAATCAGGGTGCATTGAGCCTTGGGGTGACCAGAAGGCTTTCTGGGGTGCTGCTAACATGTGACGTCTTTGACTAGGTTCTGGTCACATGGGTGTGTCTTCTGAAAATTCACTGAACTGGATACTTACGACATGATGCTTTTTACATGTGTTTAGAAGTAATTTTTTTTTTGTACCAGGGATCGAACTCAGGTCCTTGTGCTTTCGGGGCAAGCGTCGGAACAATTGAGCTAAATCCCCAGCCCTAGAAGTCATTTTTAAAGGAAACTGTTCACACACAGGCACACCCAGGACACCATTCATTGCACCTCCTGAGTCCCCGTCACAAGGGGCCTGATGGCACCACGGTGCTCAATGGCTTACCCCCGTCCCCACCACAGTGGTCTCCATGCCTGCTCCCTGCTCCTGCCAGCCTCAGTCTGAGAGCCTGGGTTTCCAGGGAGCCTCATGAGCCTGCGCACCCTAAGATCCGAAACACAACCTCTGTTTCTTCTTCTGGTGGGATCTGCAGGGCCCTCCCTGGGGCTGCCACATGTGGAGCAGGCA